GCGGGCCGTTGGGGGGCTGGTTGGGTGAGTTGGCCTCTGCCGCGGCCGCGAGCCAGCCGCCGCGCTGCCGGCGGCCGGAGCCCCGCGCAATCTCGGAGCCATGCTGAGGAGCTGCACCGCGGCACTGCGCACGCTCCAGGCCCTGCGCGGCAGGCGGGAAGGCGTGTCCCCGGCAGCGAGGGACCCGGTACTCGCGCGGGTAAGTCCCGGGCGCTGGGCGGCGGAAGTGGGCAGAGGGGTGGGACTTTCCGTCAGGAACAACCCTGTGATATGATCAGCTGTTTATCCGTTTCCTCAGCCAGCTGACCTCAGAATAAAAGGTAACAGCTACAAGAGGCATCAATGTTAACGGGGTCACCGGATCTTTCAGTCCTGAGATTCAAGCCGTAAGAAACTGCATAGGAGGGTGACGCCGTTTGTTGGGGTTTTTTTTAACATCTTTATTGGAGTATAATTGCTTTACAGTGGTGTGTTAGTTTCTGCTGTATAACAAAGTGAATCAGCTATACGTATACATATATCCCCATATCTCCTCCCTCTTGAGCCTCCCTCCCACCCCCCCTCTAGGTGGGGTGACCCGTTTTGAAGCAGTGTGAAGGATGCTTGAGTCATGTTAGCAGGTCAAGGAATACAGCTGCCACTAATATTAATAAAGAAAGGTTGTGCCTTAAGCAAGGTCACATAGAAAACACGTGGTACAGTTGGAATCTGAACCTAAGCAGTCTGCCTCCTAACCATTACATTATACCCTCAGGAGAAGAGTACGTCTCTAACAAGGGTTTAATCCTAGTTCTCTACTACTAGTTTATCTACTACTTTACTTATCTACTAGAAAAACGGTTAAGATATTCTGTCTTATCGTTTTTCAGTCAGCAGTTAATACAAATATTTGCTGCCTCTCACCAGCTATATCCAAGGAATATCTAAAGATAATAGTTTATAGGGATATTGGCTTAATTCTAGATAATTCAATTAAGTGGTACTGCTTAAATTGTCCTCTCTGAAGCAGATCAGTTCAATGAAAATAATCATTTTGGACTCGTAAAGGACACACACAAGTGGATCCCATTTAATGATAGTTAAAACCACTTTAACATCTCTGAAAATGTTAAGTTCAAGAACTTTTTTTTTTTAATATTGATTTATTTTATTTTTGGCTGCATCAGGTCTTAGTTGCGGCACGCGGGGTCTTTGTTGCGGCTTAGTTGTGGCATGCGGGATCTTTCGTTGTGGTGCACAGGCTTAGATGCCCCGCCGCATGTGGGAGCTTAGTTCCCCAAGACCAGGGATCCAACCCGTGTTCCCTACATTGGAAGGCAGATTCTTAACCACTGGACCACCAGGGAAGTCCCAAGTTCAAGAATGTTAAAACAATTTCTATACAGTCCTTATTATTAAACAGTCTGCTTGAATGAATAATGAAATAATGTTCACTTTGGGAGAGTCAAGGTAACTAATAATAATTTATAATGAAGTCAGCTTCCTTGATTGTTTTAATATTAGAAATAATAAAGACAACCAACTTATATTAAAATAAGTAATAGTAAATGGTTAAAAATTTTTAAGGTGAAGTTTTTAGCAAAAAGAAAGGAGAGGCTGGCACTTCTAATAGAAACATTTAATAAATATTGTAATGGGATTCTAATGGTGTTAGCTTTAGGGAATAAGTAATAATTGATGGAATGAGGATGTTTTTATTAGCAGTTATTTAAATTTTTCCACTTGAAGTCTAAAAACTTGTGGTTGAATATACAAAAGAGCATTAAGTATGGGCCATTTATAAGAACAAAGACGTCAAAAGAGAATTCTAAAGTTACAGTCTCACTTCCAGGCTCGTGCAGAATATATTTCTCTTTTCAACTTTGGGTTAAAATATCTACAAGACTGTGGTTGGGAGCATCCTGATAGGGCTATGCGGTAGTCATGTTTCTTTCTTCTGGGCCTTGTGTCTTCTACCAGTTATTCTCAATCCTTTGGAGACAGGAGATGATACCTCATTCCACTTATCACCATTTTAAGGCATTCAGGATTGTCTTGAATAAGTGGTTCAGCTTCTACTGTCTTAATTAAGAAATTCTTCGATATAAGAGGAAACCTGACTTTAGCAAGGATGTCAACCATAAACGGCTGGCAATTAGGTTCATCATATTTCAGCCACCTGACTGCAGCATCGTAAACCTGATCCTCTGCTCTCACAGTTAGTGTCCTGGTTGAGGAGATGTGTAACTCACCTGGTATCAAGTTGTAGAAATTCATCAGTTTTATAAAATTCAGTAAAATGCTGATGAATAAAGTCATCTGCAGTTGCGTTCAATTTAGGACAGTCTAGACACTCTGCTAGCCCACTTATACCAAGACAACTGGAAGCATCAACTTGTTCTTTGAAAAAATCAACACACATTTCTTCACAGGTTCAATCTGGTACTGGTTTGCTGCATCTAACAAAGATTGAACATTGTTACTATTCACAGAAATTCTAATGCTATAAGCGAATTCCACAAGTTGTTTAATAATGTCAGGTTCAGCATCTTTGAGTTCTACTTCAAAGAACTTTGATTCAAGCATGTTAGTTGTGAACATTAAGTTTAAAAAATAACTGGCTGCAGCAAGGACAACACAGTGAACAGCTGTCTTTCGTTCCTGGACCATAAGGATCACATCACACAGTGTTTTCTTTGGATTTATGTAGCTTGTCAACAAGGTTCTGCAGTCAGTCCCTCCCAGCGTGATTTCAAGTTGACCCTGGGTATAAATCCCTGGGTAGACTGTAGATTCAACTATAGTTGGGTGGTGGATTTAAATCACTGTTTCCGCATGTTATTCATGACGCCCATGAAGCTTGCCAATTTTAGCTTCCTCTCGAGCAAGTTTCTTTTCGGTCTTCTTGCCGCTCTTCTCCACCCCGGAGGCTGCCATCCTCCGTCAGCACGGTTCACGCCTGAACCGCCATTCCAGGCGAAGGGTTGCAGGCTCCCGATACTCTGGGGCTTCTGTTTATCAAACACCTTGACCGGGATGGGTGGCCGCAGCGCCCTGCTCCCGAACCAGCGAGCCAGCGGGGGACCACTGCGGTAGGACAAGGCCCTGTGGCCCCCTCAAGCTCGCCGGGAAGCGATGACGCGGGCTCTGCTGCATCTCCCACAGAACCGAAGCCCAGAGAAGGAGCCTGTGCCAGCTTACTTTTAAAGAATAATGAATACAGATCGGTTATTAATCCTGTACCATCGTGCACTTTGGAAAATAAAATGCCCTGTGCTAATCTCACAACAAAGACAGATTCGTTTCTTTAATATGTTGGTGTCTTGTAATCTATGTTGAGAATACTTATATTAACAGTATTTACGGGCTTTATAACAGTAGTATTTACAGGGCTTACAAATCATGCTTCTTTTGGTTCAGTAACTTAATCTTAAAAAGAGACACATTATAAAGTTGTAACTGGCCTTCCCTGGTGGCGCAGTGGTTGAGAGTCCGCCTGCCGATGCAGGGGACACGGGTTCGTGCCCCGGTCCGGGAAGATACCACATGCCACGGAGCGGCTGGGCCCGTGAGCCATGGCCACTGAGCCTGCGCGTCCAGAGCCTGTGCTCCGCAACAGGAGAGACCAAAACAGTGAGAGGCCCGCATACTGAAAAAAAAAAAAAAAAAAGTTGTAACTTAAGTCCCACTTGAAAAATACATAATCAAAGATCTAGCAAGACCTTTCCTCTATTCAGGGCAACAAAAAATAGTGATTATCCCTCACATCCCTCATGCACAGAGTCTATGCTGTGAATTTACAGGTGCCTTTACTTCAAGTATCTCATAATTCTCATCTCCTTGGACTGAAACTTTCATTATTTTTATTTCTCACAACATCATAGTGTTCATCTGTGGTCCCAAACTCAACATGCCCCAAACTAAAATGAATGGTTTCACTCCTACTTTCCGCTCCTGACGTGTACATGAACACTAACGAAAACCTCCTCTTTCTTTTCCTTCTATCCACTCCAGCCTTCAAACCACAAGTCAAGAATCATCCAAAACTCTTCTCCTTTCTCTTCCCCCGTGATCTTGTGCCTCCCTCCCACCCTCCCTACCCACCCCAATCATGTAGTTTTTAAAGTACATAAATTCTGGAAGTAACCTAACACACACCATTAGTCATAAATTAATATGTATTGACTAATACCTGTCAATTAAGAGGTAGAATAGGATGTGTAAGCTTTGGAGTTGTGAATTTGGGCTTACCGCATCCATAGGTCTCATCTTAAATAGGGAACTCTAGGTTTGATCAGTTCTAGCATCCTTTCACGGACCAGTGCAACAGAGATAATAAAGGCTTTTAGGAATTAGAATGACTCCCTTGACCCTGGGCTCTCCTACCTGATTGTAACTTTGAGAGTCTGGGGGATTCAGCTAAATGCAACAATCTTTTTTTTCCCCTTTTTTGGCACTGCATGGCATGTGGGATCTTAGTTCCCTGACCAGGGATCAAACCCACGCCACAATCCTTGGTCCCAATATCCTAAATATCTCTTAAATCTTTTTCATTCCTCTCTACCTAGTTCACCTTCTGACCACATTTCTCCTGGACCTTTACAACAGTCTTTTAACTGGTTTCCTTACCATTGCTTCTCACCTTACAATTCATCCTTTACATCAGAGGGAGCTTTCTAAAACCTAATTTCATGTTACTGCTTTGCTTAAAACTCTTTAAGCCTCCCCATAATGGAAAAAGTACTTTGCCACTCAAATACCACCTTCATGATTCTTTAAAGACTCCTTTCTTTAATTAGCTTCATCCTAAGCAATAACATTTATGAAATCCTAAGTGTGATGTGCTATTTATGTCCTTTTATTGGTATAATATTCATTTAAAAATACATATATCATTGTCCTTGTGCCAGCTAAAATCATCTTTCCTATTGGCCTTTGGAAACATTAACCCAGAAGATGAAATCTAAGCCTTCGTTAAAGCCAAAGAGCCACTGTAGTGTCATGCCTCTTCTGCTTTGCCATCCCTATCTTGCTGCTGTTCTCTTTGCACCTTTCATCTATGAAGACTGAAATCCTAGCAGTTCCCCATCTCTCTGTGCCTTTGCTTGGAGCAGCCCTCCTATTCTTTCCTTAGGGAACTTTTCATACTTTAGAAATCACTGTATCAGTCCTCATCTTTGTGAAGTTTTCCCTGGAAGTCACTCCTTCTGTGTCTGTATCTATTTCTTTTGTTAACATTTTTCACACTCGAGGCAGCAATCACTTGAGGACAGGGCCTAAGTATTCTCTCTTTGTATTACCTGTTCCTGGCACAGAACCAGAGCATATAGTAGGGCTCAAAAAAGTTCATCGCGGGGGCTTCCCTGGTGGCGCAGTGGTTGAGAGTCCGCCTGCAGATGCAGGGGACACAGGTTCGTGCCCTGGTCCAGGAAGATCCCACATGCCATGGAGCGGCTGGGCCCGTGAGCCATGGCCGTTGAGCCTGCGTGTCCGGAGCCTGTGCTCCGCAACGGGAGAGGCCACAACAGTGAGAGGCCCACATACCGCAAAAAAAAAAAAAAAAAAGTTCATTGCAGGACTTTCCCTGGCAGTCCAGTGGTTAAGGCTCTGCACTTCCACTGCAGGGGGCGGGGGTTTGATCCCTGGTCAGGGAACTAAGATCCCACATGCCATGCAGTGCCAAAAAAGGGGGGAAAAAAAAAAAGATTGTTGTATTTAGCTGAATCCCCCAGACTTTCAAAGTTATAATCAGGTAGGAGAGCCCAGGATCAAGGGAGTCATTCTAATTCCTAAAAGCCTTTATTATCTCTGTTGCACTGGTCCGTGAAAGGATGCTAGAACTGATCAAACCTAGAGTTCCCTATTTAAGATGAGACCTATGGATGCGGTAAGCCCAAATTCACAACTCCAAAGCTTACACATCCTATTCTACCTCTTAATTGACAGGTATTAGTCAATACATATTAATTTATGACTAATGGTGTGTGTTAGGTTACTTCCAGAATTTATGTACTTTAAAAACTACATGATTGGGGTGGGTAGGGAGGGTGGGAGGGAGGCACAAGAGGGAGGGGATATGGGGATATATGTATACATATAACTAATTCCCTTTGTTATACAGCAGAAACTAACACAACGTTGTAAAGCAATTATACTCCAATAAAGATGTTAAAAAAAAAAAGCCATCAGTGCATACTGGAATTTGATGGCAAGAATAGGCACATGAGTAATAGCTTTGAAAAATAAATTAAATAAAAAGAGAAAAAAAAACTATATGATTGGGATTCTAAGGAAATAAACCAAAGTAGAGAAAAGACTATATTCACAGTGTTCCAATGATCCTTTTCATTTAAAGCAGCAAAAGATTGGAAACAATTTACATGTACAATTTAAATGGTTAAGTAAATTATAGTATATCATTTTAAAGGACTATTTTTCTGCTGTTGAAAATGGTGATAACTGAGATTAAGGGCATGAGAAAGTGAACACTAAAGAATTTTAAGTGATGAAGCAAAAGAAAAATTGTATTTCTTACTGAGATTACAAGTATATTAAGAAAAGCTGTAGTTAAAAAAAGCTTGGAGGAGGGATTTCTGTGGTGGTCCAGTGGTTAAGACTCCAAGCTCTCAATGCTGGGGGCCCGAGTTCAATTCCTGGTGGGGGAACTATATCCCACATGCTGCAACTAAAAGATCCCTCATGCTGCAACCCCGCATGCCTCAACTGAAGATCCTGCACGTGGCAAGAAAGATCCCACATGCCGCAACTAAGACCCAGCATGGCCAAATAAATAAATATTAAAAAAATAACTTAGAGGAAATATATCAAAATTTTACCATTAGTTATATTAAGATGGAGAGATAATGAGTGGGTTAAAAAATTTTTGTTTTTCTTTTCTTTCCTTCCCAAATTTTCTGAGCTGAAAGTCTGAAGGGATAAGCCAATCCAAAACCATAGGAAAAAACAAAGGTACAAATACTGAGCTAGGGAGCGGAGTGGTCTCAACGCCACTCATGTTTCCCCTCACGTATTCAAGACTTCCTTTTGTTAGCCAGGAAATTTTTAGTTCCATAGAGTCCTTGGGACAGGCTCCCTAAATTCTTGCCATCAGGCCAGGATCAGAGCCAGCCCAGAGGTCAGCAGAAGGCTGGTTGGCTGGTTCTTCCATCACAATAACAGCACCTCCCTGTACCCTGGGGTGTAGTCCAAGTGTTGTAGGTACATTGAATCTGAATGAATTGATAAGAGTGCCTGGAAGTAGAATGCCACAGAGTTGATAGCTTCTGTGATCTTAATGTTCCAGGATTTCTGCAGAAGTCAAAATAACTGATTTGCCTTTCTGGTGCCGATGGGCATTTGCTTTGTCCAGCTCTTTTGTAGGTGACACTTTGTCCCCCAAGTCCTCCAGGGCCCATGTACCTTTCCACCTGCTGTGTGGGCACTGAAGTGGTAGCAGTGCTGAGTGCTACAGAGAAATAGCACTGGTAGAAGCTGTGGTTATTATGACACCAAGAACTTTTCCCCTCCAACTTTTCCTCCTCTTTCTTTGTATTCTCTTTCTTGGCATCTGGCTCTGTCACCTACTCCGTTGAACAGTTCAGAAACCTGAGATTGGCTCTTGTATTTTTCCTCTTCCCTCACTCTCCTTATCCAAATAGTCACCAAGTTCTGCTTCATGCATTCATAATTTTTCACCTGAGTTATTCCAGTAGCCTCTAGACAGGGCCCTCTGATTCCAATCTTGAAATCACTCCCACTATCTTTTGTATTATGGCCAAATCTGATCTTGTCACCTATTTAAAATCCCTCCGAGAGCACTGCAGATGCAATTCAAACCAGTTAACTTAGTGTGGAAGCTTCCCACAGTCAGGCCCTTGCCTACATCTCTGCTCTTCCCCTTGTACTGAAACAATGCCAAGCTTCCTTGAGGCCTTAGTTTCATCATCTGTAAAATGGGGATAATAATTTGTACCTACTTCATATGGTTGTTGTAAGGCCCCTCCGAACTGTTTCATGCCTCCTTGCCTTTGCACACAGTGTTCCTTTGCCTATAATACTCTTTCTATCTGGCTAATTTCTGCTTGTCTAATGAAGATTCAAGTCAAAAAACCCCTACCTGAATACCCAATCTCAGATGAATACCTCTCCCCTGTGCTCTGGCTTCCTGTGTGTTTCCCACTGGTAACACTTTTTACATGGAGGAAAATTGTCTGTCCTTCATCTCTCTTTATCACCAGTTCCTGGCTGCTGACTTTAAAAAAATGCACCATATGAGAGTTGCGAATTAAGTTTTATTTGAGGCAAAATCAGGACTACAGCCTGGAGACAGCATCTCAGATAGCTCTGAGAAACTGCTCCAAAGAGGCAGGGGGGGGAAGATCACTATATATGTGATTTTGGTGAAGGGGGAGTACATGCAATCAAGCTAGTCTCTAGTGAAGGTTACTGCTAGTCACAAGGAACACATGTCACCATGAAGGATTTTAGTGCTTTTCTAGATATGAGGAGATACAAGAATTGGGCTCATAAAATCAGCTCCTGAGGGGCTTCCCTGGTGGCGCAGTGGTTGAGAGTCCGCCTGCCGATGCAGGAGACACGGGTTCGTGCCCCGGTCCGGGAAGATCCCACATGCCGCCGAGCGCCTGAGCCCGTGAGCAATGGCCACTGAGCCTGCGCATCCGGAGCCTGTGCTCCGCAACGGGAGAGGCCACAACAGTGAGAGGCCCGCGTACCGAAAAAAAAAAAAAAAAAATCAGCTCCTGAAAATACCTAACTATCTGAAGACCTGTTCTGCCAGATTTTCTCAGAGCACAGGATGCTTCATTTCTGTCCTCCACCCTGAACTCCTTTCAGGGGGTGTTGAAAATCAGCAGCTGCAGCAGCACATGATTTAATCCTTGTAGGGGTGGATGTTAAGTGCCGGTTTGTAGTTGACATGGCTCACCTGTGCTTGATTAAGGTTTAAAAAAAGAAGGGGGTCTGCAGACCTGGGCTTAATACCAACTCTGCTAATGGCTAGTTGGATGACATTGAGCAAATCATTTATCCTCTCTCAATCTCCCAGTTCTCCCAAGGAGAGAGGACCAGGTGATCCTAGAAATTTGTTTCCACTTCAAAACAACAAGCTTTTGGGAAGAGGAAAAGCAGCAAGATAGTCTTAGAAAATAAGAGAATATGTTATGAAATAGGATGTACCTCCCATTACTCTCCTTTTTTTCCTTTCTTTTAGAGGTGGTTTTCTACAGAGAAAGTCATTCCTAAGGACCATGCTCTCCCCAACCCCAGCTGGAGCAAGGACTTAAGACTCCTCTTTGACCAGTTCATGAAGAAATGTGAAGACGGCTCCTGGGAACGTTTGCCTTCATATAAAAGTAAATATACTCAAAAGAGTGAAGATTTCAAAACCTATTTTCTTGGTAGGAATAGCTACGCTCCCATAAAGAATAATTAAATATCAAATATAAAACTAAGAACAGATTGAAGTACTTGTTACCACTTGAAAAAGGAAGGAGGATAGTGCAGGGGGTTTGCTATATTCTGCAGTTTTATAGGCCAGAAATCTCAATAAATTTCACAGATTGTGGGAGAGCATGAAGTCTGTTGCCATTAATAAGAATGCCCCCACCATGGCATCATCATCACCATTATCAGGAAGGGGCCCCAGAAAGACTCGACCCTACCACATTCTCATCACCTTTCTGTCTTGAGGCTGTCATCACTAACCTCAATTTACTGTTTATCCCAATATATGGCTCTGTCACCCTAAGAAGCTCAGAATACTCAAGTCATCCCCTCATCTCCCAGACTCTAAACTCCCGAGGCAAACTATCCCACCTCCAACACATACACATTGTACTTCCTGTCCTTTGTGTGTGTGTGTGTGTGTGTGTGTGTGTTTTAATTAATAGACTTCTTCTTTTTTAGTAGTTTCAGGTCTATAGAAAAAAGAGTGGAAAGAACAGAGTTCCCATATACCCCTTAATTCCTTCTGCCAGCTCTCCATTTATTAACATCTTGCGATAGTAAAGTACATTTGTTGTAATGGTGAGACTGTATTAATACATTAACTAAAGTCCATAGTTTACATTAGGGTTCACTGTGTAATACTTGATGAGTTTTGACAAATGTATAATGACATGTATCATACGGAATAGTTCCACTGCCTTAAAAATTCACTATGTCCCCCGTTCATCTGTCCCTCCTCCCGAACCCTTGGCAACCACTGATCTTTTTACTCTCTCCATGGTTTTGCCTTTTCCAGAATACACACAGTATGTAGCCTTTTCAGATTGTTTTCTTTCACTTAATAATATACATTTATTAAGGTACATTTATTTTTTCCACAGCACTTAACACCATCTGGCATGCCTTGTGTTTATTTAACAGTGTGTCTCTCACCACTAGAGTGTTTGCTTCTGTCGACTTAAGAAAAAATGCACAATGTGAGAGTTGCAAGTTAAGTTTTATTTGGGGCAAAATGAGGACTGCAGCTCGGGAGACAGCATTTCAGATAGCTCTGAGAAACTGCTCCAGAGAGGTAGGGGGGAAGGTCAGTATATATGTGATTTTGGTGAAGGGGGAATGCATGCAATCAAGCATATATTTTTTTGCAGAAGGTTTCTGCTAGTCACGAGGAGCAGACATCACCATGAAGGATTTTAGTGCTTTTCTAGATATGAGGAGATAAAAGAATTGGGCTCATAAAATCGGTCCTGAAAATATCTATCTGAAGACCTATTCTGCCACTTTTTCCCAGAGCACAGAATGCCTCATTTCTGCTCTCCACCCTGAACTCCTTTCGGGGGTGTTGAAAGTCAGCATCTGCAGCAGCACATGATTTAATTCTTGTAAAGGGAGTTGGTAAGTGCCAATGGCAAGTGCCAATTTGTAGTTGACAGCGCCTCCTCATGGTCATAAATTCGACCATGATTTGGGAGGCATTTCATGACCATTTTGTCCCACGGTGCTAGGAGGGCTCATTCCTAGGTCTGGTGAAGATTTTGCTGACAGGCCACTCAGTGTGCTATTACTGGACTAGATCTTTTAACAGTAACTAAAGACTCTGGACCACCTGTCTTACTAATCTGTTATGGTCCAGGAAAATTCCCTCTTGTTGTATCTTCCCATATCTAGAGTTACAGTATTACAATCATTGATCTCATATAAAACTATGTATTTTTGTTGGAGACTCAGTCACACATTTGGTAATGCAAGAAACAACAATCTTGTAAAACAGGAAAAATGCAAATAACATAGCTAGCAATATTATTAAAGTCATAAGTGAGAATTAAGCCAAGAACTTCCATTAGGTACAGCCCAGTATATCTTCAGGTCACCTGACATAGTCTGTTCTGTACCAATCGTTATCTTTCAGGGAAATGGTGTATTGTCACTGTCCATAAGGCTCCCAGCCCAATTTCCTAGTTACTACGCTAGTTATCCTTAGTATAATTTGATTGTTCCCAAGGTAAAAGGGTGCCTTAAAACTTAAATGACCACAGCCTGGTGTTAACCACATAAATCCATCCCATAATTGCGGGAGCTTTTATTCCTTGGCTGAAATTTTGCTGTTGCTCTGATTGAGCTTGAGTAACTTTAGAGGAAAATTCATTTTTTCATGGCCAGGGTCAGAGCAGGTATTATTAATTGTCTAGGTGAGGGGATCCCATCTAGTAATATCAAGAGTGAACTTTCTTTCTTCTGAAATATATTTCCTAAGGGCCATCCAATTAGAGCCTTGGAGTAGAGCAATCCACCAAGGTAATCCAGAAGTACTAGACAAAGGTGATTGGCTACAAACCCAACAATTGGATTGATTTTTTAAACTAGCATAGGATCGTGTCCATGATAGAAAACACTTGATTTATATGCAAAGGTCTGAGAAGTTAAGAAAACTTTATAAATAATACAAATCAGGTCCAGCATCTTGGGTAAGCTGTCTGCTTCTGATGTTGTCTTCTTTTCATCCTGGTGTGAGTATAGTTTCCTCTGTTTGAGCAGTGTTTTAAGGTGAGTTTGAGGTTAGCAGTCCTCTCTATAGACCAGTCTGGTGCAGCAGCCCTTTTTAAGTGGGAAATATGAATCCAAGAGTGAATCCCTTTAGTTTTGCTGCACATGAACTAGTTAAGGGTACCTGGTGAGGGCCTTTCCATCTGGGTTGTAGTGAGTCCTTTAAATGATGTCTTTTCTAATATACATAGTCCCCTGGTTGCAGGTCATGGGGCAAATGATCTTCATCCAAAGATAGATTACTGAGATAAGCTTCAAAAACAAACTTAGAGTGTGCTTTTAATAATACAATTTAACTTTATATCAATATAACATAACAACAAGGAACTATCCTGGAAGTGAGTCTTAGTAAATACAGACCTCCATTAACAAAACTGGGATTTAACATTCATTGAAACATCTTTTTCTCTCTAAAATTACCCTCATTTCTACCAAATATAACCAAATTAAGACTAATTTGTTTGCAAAATAAATCTGGTCTCAATACACTTGGCCTGATGATATATAACTATAATTGATCATATAGGCTTTTTGCTTGCTGAAACTTTTATAAGGAGTCTCAGGCTGGACTTTTAAAATAACCTCTCAGGGCTAAGAAAGTCACCAAGGGCTTATCACAGATTTCGCCTAACAGATCTAGGTGAATTCCTCCCTTTTCAAGGTCCCAAAATACCTTGAGTTTTCTGTACCTGTTAGTGAGGTAGCCTTCCTAATTTATCTGATAAAGCTACTGGCAACCTGAGAGTTTCCAGTGTCTGGAGCGGACAGATAGCAAAGATAAATGTTTCAATCCTGCTTACAAAGGTATAATTTACCAAATTACTATAAGTCATAATTAGTTTGAGGGGAAGGTTTTTCCTTACACCTGGAAAACACAGATTTAAACCAGTAATTCTTCAGATAGAAACCATAAAATTTACAACCATATTCACCAGTTGACTCAGTCCTGTGTAACTAATCCTTTTTGTTAACAGCTTTATGAAGCCATCAGGTTTTTCATTAGAATTCTTCAATTTCTTACCCAGTTCAGCATTATGGTCTGAAAGTCAGAAACTTGTATTTATCCAAAAGTCCTTTCTATAAGTTTTCTTGAAGAGGAAGCATTTTTGCAAAGGCATTAGAGTGAAACTGTAAGTGTCTATAATGACAGAAAACTTAAGGCGCGTTTAAAATCTGATTACAATGCAATTAACAAAGAAACTTGGTTACTACTATGACATACAACACTTTAAGATAATAACTAGAATTATGACTGATAACATTTTACCAGGACATATCAGAATTTTAGGAACTCCATATAATTTCTAGGATATCTTTATTAGCAACATTTACCATACAATATAACCTAAGAAGATTTATTACTCATTTGACATTACTTCCCATGTAATTTAACATACCAAATGAATCTAATTAGTTTGACATCTCTCTTTGGGATGTATCAGGGGCCCTTTGAAGCATCCCAGAGTTAGCTAGAGGTCAAAAGGATGTCATTAAAATTTGATTTAGGAAGTTTTGTCAAACTATATCAAAAAGGATTTAGAACATTCAGTCAGATAGGATCACAGATAGTCACTGTGAAACAATAGTTATTCACTTAGCCCAAGTAACAATAAAAGATTCCAAAGGCAAATACAGAACAGATCACTTATAAGGTAAAGAAACTTGAAATCTGTTATCAAAGGCATTTCAACATTATCAGAAATCTTGCCCTCTTGAGAGAGAAAAAACAAATTCAAGTTTTGCACCCGCTTACTTTTGAAATTCATTTACGGGACTTCCCTGATGTGCAGTGGTTAAGAATCCGCCTGCCGATGCAGGGGACACGGGTTCGAGCTCTGGTTTGGGAAGATCCCATGTGCCTCGGAGCAACTAAGCCCATGCGCCACAACTACTTAGCCTGCGCTCTAGAGCCCATGAGCCACAACTACTGAGCCCACGTGCCTAGAGCCCCCGTGCTCCACAACAAGAGAAGCTACCACAATGAAAAGCCTCACACCACAACAAAGAGTAGCCCCACCCGCTGCAACTAGAGAAAGCCCACGTGCAGCAACAAAGACCCAACACGGCCAAAAATAAATGAATAAATAATAAAAAATAAATAAATAACATTCATTTACTCAATTAAATTTATTTTAACCTTAGTCAATCCAGACCATGCACAAAACTCTTTTCTTGGGGTCCCCTTTCCACAAACCTTTTTATGACTTTCTGTATCCATCACTTTATTTCCCATTCAGAAACAGCCAGCTATAAGTCAGACCTACTTCCTTTTCCCTTAAAAAAATGCGATTCTATTCCTCATGACTTCTTTACTAGAAACATACATCCTACTTTCCTACTGTATACTGAAATGTTTCCTTTATTATTTCTATTAGCTTTAGCTACATGTTTAAATTAGAATCCTCAG